GTCTCTTATCATTCTAATATGACATTCTAACCCAGAGGAGGGAGGTAATTCAACATCTCTGGACCATTTTTACATTTAACACCCGCCCACCCCCCCAGCCCTTCTTCCTGCAGAATTAAGCTCCTGGGTTATTTTTTTGGCCACGACAATTCACCACTCTTTTAAACATCACAGGTCAAATAAAAGGAGTATTTTAATTTTCCAATGTTTAGTAATAAGAAATCTGGTGGCTGGCCAACAATAAAAAACTGAATCAGTTTCTTGTGCTAAATTGACATGCATTGGAAAATACACAGTAAGCCAACTTCAACATTCATGATAAAAATCTCCTTGGTGTTTTCCCCCATTTCATCAAGAGTTTTGATTAAAAGCACTGACCTAGACATCCAGCAAAGATGACAACGTGTGTCATTTTGTTTACGCACCCATCAATGCAATGCAATAGAATTATTGTGTGTGTTATATAGTATAATTTAGCAGAGTGAATGGCCACAACCATTGTTGCTGCAATCAGTATGATTGCATGCTAAAACAGAGTTATAGGAATTCTATGCCACAAAGAATTCTAACAAGATTCATCATGTTTGGTGCTCAAATGATCTTCCCTAAGTTTTTAACAATGATTTTCAAGAGCACATGTTATGCTAAATCAGTGTTTCTCAAACTTGGCATCTTTATGATGTGTGGGATTCTGGGAGTTGAACTCCACATATCTTAAAGTTGCCAAGTTGGAGAAACACTGAAAATAAATAAAAGAATTTATATCGCTTTCCTGAGATTTTCATTCTATTAAACAAAATAGATATTTATTGTCCTTAGAAGCATCTGCAGGAGGTGTAGGTGTCAGTGATGAAATTGTGGTGTGGCATTGTGATGCAAGCCCTGCCCTTTTCTAGATGCACTGTATTGTCACATACATGCCCCAGTGAGGTGGGGCCTGCAAGGTGATGCTGGGGCAAAGCAGAGAGCCCCCGTGGCTGCTGCTGCTATTCAAATATTGCTATCCAGCTGTAAATTACGCATTTTATGAAGGACTTATTGGACATGACTGATTTGAAATTTTACACTCGTTTACACTTGGGTTTACTCCCTTTGCAGTAATACTCAGAATTTACATAATTGTTACCTACAGTATAATGAAATCTTTAATTACATAAAATCCTAATTCTCCCATTCCTTGTAGTAAGCATTCCCAAGTTTAAAGCATGAATGATGGAATGGAAGAAGAGGACATGAGTCAGGAGTCAAATGTTGTTTCTTCTTCAAACTCTTCAGAATTATATTTAACAGATTTGAAGTAGCAGCTATTAAGTTCTTACTTTCAGGAAGGAATGGTTTCACTTTAACTAAAGAAGTATCTAACTTTAATTTAGTTTGTCTCTGTTGGACATTTCTGAGTTTCTTTTAATTTAATTTTCCAAACTAAACTAAATTAATTGGAAGTGTTTTAAAACCAAGCAGGATTTTCAGTAGAACTGACATTTAACTGCTTCTATTCTGTCACGTAACAATTATGAATGATAATGCTATGATTGTGATAGTCTTGCACAGAAGAGGTTCAAAATTCCATTTTTAATTGATGCCAATCCTTTTAATGAATATTCCTAAACATTTAAATCCCTCTTCACTAATATGAAATCCAATGTCTTGAATCTGTTTCTATGACTCTTTATCAGTGTTAAGTAAAAAAGCAGATGATTTATCAGTGTTAAATTCTAAACCTGACACTGCATGAAATGTATTTAATATAAACTACCATTCAAATATGTCCTTATTTGGATGCCTAAGGAAAGTAAGATTGGCTGGTGTGGGTCTTCCAGGCTGTGTGGCCGTGTTCTTGAAGTTTTGTTTCCTAACGTTTCGCCAGCACCTGTGACCGGCATCTTCAGAGTGCAGGAGCACGGACAGGAGCAGTTCTCTCTGTGCCCAGGGTGATCACAGGATGCCGGTCACAGGTGCTGGCGAAACGTTAGGAAACAAAACTTCAAGAACACGGCCACACAGCCTGGAAGACCCACACCAGCCACCTCATGGAGT